TTAGAAATCCGGAATATTTTTCTTTGTTTCCAATGGTATTTTTCCATCCCTTAACACCAGGACCAGATTTTGAAAAGCACATTTCCTTGTTTCTTAGAGCCTTCGGATTTCTGTGCCACACTATCCACCGGTTCTTATCATACTAGTCACATAGTTAAATTTTCGAATTTTATTAATTCTGACGTTCCCGATGTGTAAATTACAACATGAGCTGCCCCTTTTCCTCACCACTTAGATTTCCGTTTTCTTACAATTAATGGTCAGGCCTCTTTATTTTCTAATATTTCCGTTTCCTGAATCACCGTCTGCGTAGTAATGCTGTTAATTTATGTTCGTCGAATATAATTCCTGGAAGGACCTCTGATTCTCTTTGAATCACACAGGTTAATTAATCCCGCTGAGAAAACACTTACCATCTGTACTTATTAGCACTTATAAGCAAAACATTGTCTTAAAGATAACAGACATAAATGACAATAATAGTTATAATGACTTAGTACTATTTTTAATGATAATTAAAGAACAGCGAATAAGAAGAACGAGAAATCAGTGGCGTAACGTAGACGTACACTAAGCGCCAAATATCGGGACTCGCCGTCTGAATTTAATAATTAGTACGTTTCATACCTTCTTTGGTTTAATTAACTCAAATTAAGCTAGGATACTGATATTTTATAACCCATGTATATATGTATGTATGTATATCTGTGTGTGTGTGTGTAAAAAGGCAGGAAGGAAGAAAGGCGATAGAAGACTCGTAATCGCAAAAATAAATATAAACAAATAAATAAAAAATACCCGAAAAATGAAGAAGGCGTGAAGAATCAAAGACAGACCCCTGCAGAGACTTTAAGAACCAGACTGAAAATACCGCGGACAAAAAAAAAAAAGAAAGAAAATATAGATATGACTGCGCAGAGGACAACTAAAGAGAAAAACACAAACCCCCGTTATCGCAGCACAGAATGAGGGCATCAGAACCAAACGAATCAGAACAGATCCCGGTTTCTGCGTAAAGGGTAAGCCCCTTAATCTGTGAATGTAGCAAGCTGCACCCAAAATAATACAAAAAAGTACGATAGGGTAGGAACAGTTAAAAATGGAAACTGTGCAAACGGCTTGGTTTAGACAATGTGGATGAAAGTATCATGTCAAATCAGAGAAATTATCAGATCACAAATTACATTGGAATTTCGACTCCTACACCGACCGCTCCAACTCAGTAAGATCAGATCTGATAATCGTAGAAAAGTGAAAAAAAAAGGTACCTCTCAGATTGTGGATGTCGGCGGGCCACTAAGTGCATGAGGAGAGTAAGAAATGAGAAAATACCAAGCACTTGCTCGAAGACTAGGAAATATAAAGAATATGATGGTTATATTCGTGCTTATGTCTTTTCTATAAATATTTTCATAGCAATTGGTTAGATGAGCTCTCATCTTTAATACTACAAATTTAAGTGCAGTACTAGATTGGCAGCTAGGTCTCATCGTTTTATACTGTTGAAGAAGTTAGATGTTACTGTTATTTACTGTTACCTACAATCTTCAAAAAAATAAGATGCAAAATCAATCACCATTTCCGAGCATGAGACCCGGGTTCGAATCTCACCGTGGTTGATTTGTCAGAATGGGGACGTTTTGATTTTGTCGGTCTTGGGAGGCGTTTCTAGTGTACGGGGCAACTGGAAAGTTCCCCCAAAGCATAACTCGTAAATACATAAAATTAGAAAGTCAGTTGCCATCTTGTATCTTCTTCAATCCCGTTCATCTTTTGTCCTTCCATCAATCCTCCCTATTCTCATTTTTCTCTTTCACTTTCATTCCTTGTAAACACCCTGCGTACTAGTGGAATTCACGCCTTGCTTGGGGTGAAATGTTTAAAAGGAAAAGAGGTGTAAGACAAGGATGTGTTTTCGCACCGGATTATTCGAACTTAACAGTGAGGCAATGCTGAGAGAACGTGATACATTATTGGTAGCCACAGTCATAACAGCACAAGATATGCAAATGACTCAGTATCAATGGTAGATACAGAAAGGAAACTACAAGACTTCCTACAGAAGTCAGCGAAGGAAAGAGAAAAGAAAGGACTAAACATCAATTGTAAGAAGACAGAATGTATGGTTGTCAGCAAAAGAAAAAAAAAAAGCCCAAAACGCAAACAAGTAATAGGGCGGGAAATGTGACACCGAGATCCGAAGGCACATTGGAATAGCGAAAGATGCCTCCCAAAAGCCAAGCAAAGTATTATGAAACAGGGAAATTTCGTTAGAAACAAAGGAAAGATTATTGGACTGTTATGAAGTTTCTCGGACACGAAGAAGGAGGGCCTATAGAATCTGATACTCAACGGTCGAATAGAAGGAAAGAGAGACAAGGGAAAACAACGCGTGACATACCTGGAGGGCTTAAGCAAGTGGATGATAGAACGTGGGAGGAACTAGAGGGAAGGAACTTGTTGAGAGCTGCAAGGGATAGGGGGAGGTGGAAAGCTATGATCGCCTACGCCCTGAAAGGATATGGCACATAAAAAGAAAAAAAAGAAAGATATAAAATCGGTCCTCATATATGGTAGTGAATGATGGTCAATCTCCTTACAGATGAAGAAAATACTTGAGGCAACAGAAATGTAGTTCTACAGAAGGATGCTGAGAATACCATAGACTGGACATGTAAGTAACGAGAAATTATTAGGGAAAATAGCAACCAAAAAAATAAAAAATAAAAAAAATAAATAAATAAAATAAAATAAAATAATCAGAAAGAAACAAGTGAAATTTCTAGGGCACATAATGAGAAAAGAGGGTTTGGAGAATTTGATACGAACAGGGCATATTGAAGGCAAGTGAGACAGAGGAAAGTAACGAATAAACTATCTAACCAATTTGGGTAAATGGCTGGCAGGACACAGCAAAAAGACAAGCCGACTAAGAGTTACAAAGGACAGGAAATTGTGGAGAGCCATGATCGCCCACGTCTTGAAGAGAAATGGCACATAAAAAAGAAAAATGGTTAATGGAAAAATATTTACAGTAATGATTGTATGAGGCTCAAGAGCCACACGAGGTAGAAAATTACAGCGTGATTATAGAGTAAGAGGCACAGTTTATGAGGTTATGTGGGGAAGATAACGGTTAAACCTAGACATGAACAGATTAAGATTGTAGTAAACGGGGAAACATCCACTTGGGAGTCGGTTCCACAAAGTAGCTGTTCGTGGGAAGAAGCTGTTTGAGTGGAACTAAATATGCGTTGTGCAAAAAAAAAAAAAAAAATATCTATATATATATATTTTTAACCAGGCTGATTCATGGGCACCGATACTTAAAGAACTTAAAAAGATTACCTGGTTACTTATTTCAGTGCATCATTTTACTTACAATTATTGTCACGTGACGCAAGCAATAGCCAGTGCATTATTTAAACAAATCAACCGTAAATAATCAACAGTGCCTTTTAATAGCCACCTGTCACTTATTTTATTGGCAACTGAGACTGCTTTGGCAGTTGTATAAGTAACGAAGTAATCGTTCTACGTAACGGGTTAATCGAAGTAAGTACTGTCAAATTTGTTGGCTTATTTATGTCCCTCCGTATAAATATATTAATAATAAAAACAATAATTATTATTATTAATAATAATAATGCAACATTTAAGAGAAGGGCGCGATTTAAGAAAAGAAACACCAATGTTTGACAATATTAAACAATGTTTCGACAGTATGTCTATCCTTTTTAAAGTTATATTTAAAAAAAATCTTTTTCAAGTATAAAAAATATACATATGTACAAAAAATTATACGTCTTTGTACAAAACTTGCTTGTCTATGATTTTTTATTAACTGAATACAGTAATTGTGACACAAGGCCGAAAAAATGGGGAGATGTGTCAAGGCTGGTCGACACTATCCCATATCTAGCTAATCAGATTCACGACCCATTCATTTGTTACAATTTACTCATTAACCATAAGTGTCTAACCGTCACCATTCGTTCCTACATACACCAAAATACCTCACACATACATAGTGCACCTAACAACAACAACAACAACAACAACAACAACACACTTGCTCATCTTGTAATAGTAAAACGGCTGTACTGGTAATGAACGCTTCAAAACGAAGCGTGAAAGCATGAAACTAAAACGTGCTTAATATGATAGTGATCTTGTTCATCTTGGAATTTTCCGTGAGTTGATTAGTTACTAAGAGGAATTAATAAAACAACTTAGTCTTATGGAACTCGCTGTCATTTGGTTCATTCATATAACATGAAGAAGACAGATATTCTGTTGAAATATTGTTTAACATTGTCACATACTGTGTCATTTCTTTTCTGAAATGAAAAAAAAATACACATATCTGTTAATAAACAATAATAATAATAGCAATAATAATAATAATGATAATAAAAATAAAAATAATGTGGCATATATGAACATCAAAAAATTCAGTTGTAGTTGGAGTCCTCGGATTGACTGGAAAAGATTCCAATAGACACCTTCAAGGAATCCTTGATAGCCCATGCCTTAAAGAAATACAAAAAAACTTGTTCCCACGAGTACAACCCACACCTTAAGAAGGGCATTATCTATATATGTGATATATTTTTTTTTCGAAATTGCTCAGTGGAAAATGTCATGATGCCATTTCTGAACTCAGGTCTCTAGCCGGGAACCAGAAAGAAATGAGTACACACAATTCTCAAAGGAAATAATAATAATAATAATAATAATAATAATAATAATAATGTATGTGTTTATAAATGCTTGCGTGTATGTCTGAATTATATCCAGTTTTTCCTGAATGAACACAGATACATATCTTTTTTTTTTTAATTAACCCGGTTTTTTTCTTTCCCATGAAATTGTCACTCATACTGTCTCCCCACCCCATACACCCCACCCCCCACCCGGTTACCTTCACAACTTTCATGTTTTCTACGAATTTTTCATTTTATGTACTGCCTCTCAACGTTCCCTTAGAAATTCTCTAGGAGTTGTCGTTTCGCTTATCTCTTTTCTTTTTTTTTCTTTCTATGTCCGTCCCTGCAACAACTAACCGTCCACTACCACACAACCTGCACCCACCCCCGCAACCCTCACCACATGCCGTTCATTTATATAGCCAGTTGCATTGTTCTCGATATTTTACTGTTATGCTTTGCATAAAAGATCACTGCTGCGACTTTGCTATTTTTTTTCATGTCTCAGTTCGTAGAAAAGTCGACCAAGTCTGTTTCCTGGCAAGTGTTAGGGTCCCGGGCATTATAGATGTGAAAGAAGACATGAACACATGAACATATATCAATAAGGCCTTTAACAAAATAGACCAAAAAAAAAAAAAAAATGAATAGCGTCATTTAAAAAAGGGGTGACAAAGTGTGAATGAAAATGTTGTTAGCGTTTCAATCTCGCGTTAATAAGTCGAGATCTCTGATCTTTTAGTGGGACTGTTATTTGGCCAAGACAATTTATAGTATCTGTCTGAGTTTATAGGATGAGCAGTTATCATTTCTACATCTTTTATCTCCTTATTTACATTCAGACGAATGTCCTCATCTTTGTTGTTATTTTCACAACTTTTCGACTGGTATACCTTCCGGTCCATTTCAGGTATCTGTTGACCCGAGTAGCCTTCAGATTCAGTTCGAAATTCCCTGAAGGTTACTCGCATTGACGGACACCACGAGAAGACCTGAGTACACGGCAACCGAAATGTTCGTGATAATAACAAAGTTGATGATATTACTTCGATTGATTTGCATGTTCTGCCTACGGTATTCCTGGCATTCGTCGGAAGAACCACATATCTTTCTCGTTTCAAGACTCATCTTCATCTCTGAGATTATCCAACATCCACTGCCATATAGGATTGATTTGATTTGTTTGATTGACAGCATATCAACAACTTATGGGTCATTTAATGGCGGAATTTAATTTTCTTGGGAGCTTTGAATTAATACAATTAGAATATACCTTATTCTGCTTTCACAGTTGAATTCATGGTAGATGATACTCAGCTTTTGTGCTTATACATGTTTGTGTGGACATAATTTTTAGTGGTGGTGATATGTGTGTTTTATGTTGTAGTTTTGTTGAATCTATATTTTGGAATACAGTTTGATTTCTTTAAGAAATTGTAGGATGTTATAAGGACTAATATCATGAAAGAGTTTTTTTCATGTTGGTCGTTTGGTTAGTTAATTTTGTTCGGCGGCATACCAACCTCTATGGGTTATTTAATGCCGAAATCAAAATATTTTGTACATAATTTTAGTCTTTCAGATTAAAGGTATGTTTTTTTAGACATACATTTTGTAGATCATAAAATGTATTCTTGGAAATTTTACTATAAAAATGTAGTGTTGATTTTTGTTTGGGAGTTGACTATTTGGCCATAGCTTTGACTCTAACAGGTGCTATCATCCCTGGTCAGGGTGGACTTGGGAAAAGCAGCAATTAAGAGGTGGATCCACGCTCCTCAAAACCTCCAATCTCCCGATCAGAGGTCTTGCTGCAGGATATAGTTTATCGTCACACACAGAACGAACGTTAGTCTGAAGGTAAATAATTTTTTGTGTATATATTCGTAGACATAACTTTATATTCATTACGTAAACCTACTTGGGTTTGACACAAAACCATTACGATGGCACAACTAGTGATGACCAGGTCCGCTCTATGATAAATAGTCCGACATTTCTTTATGAGGTGAAGTGTATGTAATTATTAAGCTTAGATGAACAAAAGAACTACTGAAGCGAGGTACACAGGAGGATTGAACTTATTACTCATTTGATTAACCAATACATAAGGGCGGGTGTTGTGTCCTTTTTTTTTTTAAAGACAGGGTGAGTTCTTTACGAATTCTTCTTCTCAGTGCCGTGTACATTCAGGACGTGGGCGATCATGGCTCTCCACAATTTCCTGTCCTTTGAAGCTTTTAATAAATATTGACTTTTTGTTATCTCTTCTGGAACTTGTCCCGTCATCCATTTTCCCAAGCTCGCTATGTCGATTACACGTTAATGTTCCTCTTTTTCTCTTGCCTTTAATCTCTCCTGTGAGTATAAAATCTTCCAAGTCTTCTTTCCTCATTATGTGCTACAGAAATTTCAACTATATTTTCCTGATGTTAAACAGAAGTGTCCTTTTTGTTTCCATTTTCTTCGTCCTTGGTCACATGTTCGATCCAAGGTATTTTCAGTATCCTTCTCTAGAACTAGATTTCTGTTACTTCAATTCTCTATTCATTTGTGAGAAGATTGTCCAGCCTTCACTGCTATATAGAAGGATTCATATTACGTAACAGTCCAGAAACACTTTTCTAACATGTTTCTAACGATTTGTTTCCTGTTAGTTAATACTTTGCTTAGCATTTGAAAGACATCTTTCACTATCCCGGTGCATCTTCAGATTTCGATGTCGCACTTTCCGTTCGCTGTTAAAACACTTATTAAACACTGTTATGGTAATTTACCCACGCACGCATGAACTCTCCCAGCTATAAATAGGAGCAGGTATTGCCTTTTGGAGTAGGAAGTTTCCAGCAGTCAGCTCTGATAGTCGGACCGAACATTCTTACTGTAACACTCTCGTTTGTATATCCTTGTATTACTGTTTCTGTTAATGTATTTGTTTAACTCAGTTCCTCTCTTGTGTCTTTATTTCTGGCCCTAACAAGGCTACAATAAACACCCAGCCGAGTTCGAATTCCAGTCAAATCCATTACATTCACTTATATGTTAATACCTTTGGGAAAGTTATGATTCCTCTTCTTCTCCCCCCCTCCCCAGCTATCGGTAAATAGCAGGACAGACCGGTTTCTATAGAGTTAGATGGCAACTGGTGTACCGCAGAAAGAAATGGCAAACTACTGCTGGAAAAAATCTGCCTCGTCAGTCATGTATCAAAAGATACATGATCGCCTAAGCGTGTATCACGCATGGCACATACTGACTTTTTTGATTTTGGTATTTCCAGTTTGTAATTTGTATCTTGGATTGTTGCTTTTACTAACAATCATAGATTTTGTCTTCTTGCAGTTGATGCTTAGTCCTTTCTTCTCGCTTTTCTTCACTACATTCTGTAGTGTCCTTTCTCTGGCTGCCATCAACACTGTGGCATCCGCTTATCTTAGGTTGTTACGAATATGGCCGCCAATAATGTATACTTGTAGGACTTTTAATTATCTTAGAATTGTTTGACTGTATAGGTTTAATAAGTCCGGTGAGAAGGCTCGTCCTTGTCTTACACCCGTTTCTATTTTGTATATTCATTTCATATCTGTATGCAGACGTATTTTTTTTTACTAATGTTTACCCAATATAAGGCCCAAGGGCTACTCAAGGTAGAGGATTACTGTGTGGAATTGTATTAGTGGAAGAAAGGGCAAGATAACAAGAAAGATAGATAGCTAATTCTCGACTTCAAGATTTAATTAGCGGATACAATTTCGAAGTTCAGGCGGAGACGTTACGAGTACAGAGTTGAAGTAGATTTTGGAAGGAACTGGAAACCTAATCCTAAGCCAAGAGAAAAAAAAATGGATAAGCCTCTACTCGTTATCAGATATCGGGGAGGAGAGTGAACCGGATGATAGGCGAAAATATCTACTGTTAAGGAAAAGTAAATAAATAGTAAATAAAATTTCAGAGTTTAGATGGTGACATTAGAAGTATAGAGTTGAAGTAAACTTTAGAAGGAACCGGAAATCTAATCCTATACAAGAAAGAAGTTGGATTAAGTTTACCTTAAAATATCGCCTATAAAATCGTGTTTCAACAGTATAGCTATAAAAATTATTTTATTTATATAAACTACAGAACACTTTTTTTTTAATCTTGTGTTTCCTTTATTTTATTTTTGTTGATTTTTATAACAGCTCTTAGATCGTTTTTCTACGATCGTTAAGTAGAAAGCATACTTTCGCACCCGGGATAGACTTGACTATCCGATTACTAGAGCTTAATTTCGAAATCTGAAAATTTGTTTTAATCATTTCACCCCAAGCAAGGCAGTAATGCCACTAAGACGCAAGGGGTTACTGAATTTGACAAAATATAGGAAAAAGAAAACATTATTAAGGAAAGGGGACGCTAAGACAACAGGAATTAAGAAGGCAAATGATAACGATTGGTATTGCATTTAAACTTTTGAAGATCAAATTTGACTGGAAAACAAGAAGCCGGAAGAGAATTCTACAAATGCGAGAGAAGAAACTGCTAGCATAGAACTTACGGTTATATCTAACCATTTCAGTTGTAAAAATGTTGAGATATTAGCGCCAATCTAATAGTACGCTTAGATTCATAAGGTTTAGGTACCAAAGAGGAAAGCTCATCAGAACTTTGTGACACAGAAATCCGAAGGCGCAAATGAATAACGGAAAGTTGGTTTCCAGAAACCAAGCAATATATTAAGAGATAGGAAAATGTAGTTAGAAAAAAACAAAAAAACAAAAAAAAAAACAACAAAAAAAAAACGGTTGCTGAACTGCTACGTAATATGTTATCGCCTGTATAACAGAAAATGCTGGAACATCTCCCAAAAGATGAAAAAGAAACTTATGTAGTTCGATCGACGAATATTGAGAATACTATGGACAGAATATATAAACAATAAGGAATCTATCTATATTTTTAAGATGAACGTATTATGTACACTATTTACATTATTCGGACTATTGTCCTCATCTTTGTCGCCATATTTATCACAACGTTTCGGCCGTTGTACGCTCCGGCCTTCTTCAGGTGGTTGGAATGTCGAACTAAACCCTTTATTTCGCTCACTAGGGTAGACTGTTCTAGTTCCACGTGCCATGTTTAATGGATGCCAGTTATCAGTTATCTCCTGTTAATTCCTTTCTGAAAGTTCTCCAGTGCCTTAACCGGGTATTGAACTCACACTCTTTGCGTCCTGTCACTGGATCTAAGTAACACCTTTATCCACTGTACTTTGAGGACATCTGTCCATGAATTTCTGGGTATTATAAACATGTATAAACCTAATGTCTTCAGCAACCATTTTTTTTTTTTACCAGTGCTCATATTGCAGTTTTTGCTGTTATCAAACATACTTTTACCAGAGCTCATATTGCAATTTTTTTTTGTTATTATCGCGCTCTCTGGCACTCC